CAATTGGTTTGGCTGCTCCCAAAAGTTGTCGTCATTGCCATCATCATCCCGATGGCATATCCATCCATGATGCCGAGGAGTATCTCTTCAATCTCCTTTCAATTTCCCTTTGCATGGCTCGTGTGTCTGGCCAATGCCAGCCTATCTCGAATAAAACTTTCGCCCTACATTGCAATGTTGTTGTTGCTGCTGTGGTTCGTGTCGCCGTCGCCATCGTCAAAAACTGTGAAATACACAAATCGATGGGAAAAAATGCCATGAAGCAAACCCCGAGCACGTGAACTATTAAAAATCACTTAAGAACAATTCATGTCACGTTCCACAATAGTAGTCGCCTTCAGTGCTACCGGATGATGATGGCAGTTTGAATTTGTATGCCTCCAGCCTCTGGCAGCTAGTCGGTAGTCATCAAGCATCGTGGCCTTTATCGGCAGCTTCCATGCATGCGAATGACTGACTGACTGGTTGGATGGCTGGTTTGTTGGCAGTTTGGCAATAGAGTCCTTGGGAGAGGATTTTTTGTGTGTCTGTGTGTCTGTATGTCTCCACACTCAATCGAAGTTTGAACTTTACAAATAGATATTTTTCCACAAATTTGTATCTATATTTGTTCATTGAATATGTATTCCTTACAAATGATTTATCTTTATCAAACTTGCCCCGATCTCCCCTCAAATTTGTGGCCCTCTCGCCCTCACCCTCTCACGTGGCGCATTCCTAGCCACGAAGTTGTAGTTAGTGTTGATGTTATTGCAGGATGTGGCATTGCATAAAGTTCACTGAAATTTTTGGAGGTCCTTAAACATCGGATTTTTTTTTTGCAACCAGTTTTTCCCATCCGATAACTTTCGATGTGTGCTTTCTTCGTGAACGTGATTGTGCATGTAGTGTTTGAGTTTTGTAAGCCGGGGCAAAAAAAAAGGTAATAGATATTTGATTGAAGAATTATAGACTCTGATATTATTTGTTATTATGGTGTGCGGAGTAAAGTAAATTGATTTGATGTTGATACCTTGATAAAGTTTTATTATTATTTTTTTCCTTTGCTTTAGGTTTAGATTTCTTGTTTCTTTTGTAGAGCAGCAGAGATGATGAAGTATAATAGTACATAATCACAGGATTTTCGTAAGGTAAAACTTTAAATAATTAAATAAGAAGATTTTTTAAAACAGTTTTTTCAACAGACCAACAAACGTGGATTTTTTAAATAATATTTTTTAATGGACCCAGACAAACGTGGATGTCTTAAAAATATTTTTTCATGGATTATCAATAAACGTAGATTTTTTAAAAATATTTTTTCATGGACAATCAATAAACGTGCATTTTTTAAAAATATTTTTTCATGGACCATCAATAAACGTGGATTTTTTAAAAATATTTTTTCATGGACCATCTATAAACATGGATTTAAAAAAAAATATTTTTTCATGGACCATCAACAAACGTGGATTTAAAAAAAAATATTTTTTCATAGACAATCAATAAACGTGTTTTTTTTTCAAAAATATTTATTCATGGACCATCAACAAACGTGGATTTAAAAAAAAGTATTTTTTCATAGACAATCAATAAACGTGGTTTTTTTTAAAAAATATTTTTTCATGGACCATCAAAAAACGTGGATTTTTTAAAAAATATTTTTTCATGGACCGTCAATAAACGTGGATTTTTTAAACAATATTTTTTCCTGGACCACCAAAAAACGTGGATTTTTTAAATGTTTTTTTAATGGACCCAGACAAACGTGGATTTTTTAAATAATATTTTTTTAATGGACCCAGACAAACGTGGATTTTTTAAATAATATTTTTTTAATGGACCCAGACAAACGTGGATTTTTTAAATAATATTTTTTTATGGGCCATCAATAAACGTGGGTTTTTTTAATAATATTTTTTTATGGACCATCAATAAACGTGGATTTTTTAAATAATATTTCTTAATGGACCCAGACAAACGTGGATTTTTTAAAAAAATATTTTTTTCTACAGATCAACAAACGTGGATTAAAAAAAAAATGTATATTTTTTTTGCAACAGATCAACAAACGTGGATTTTTTAAAAAATATTTTTTTAACAGATCAACAAACGTGGATTCTTCAAAAATATTTTTTCATGGACTATCAACAAACGTGGATTTTTAAAAAATATTTTTTCATGGACTATCAACAAATGTGGATTTTTCAAAAATATTTTTTCATGGACTATCAACAAATGTGGATTTTTTAAAAATATTTTTTCATGGACCATCAATAAACGTGGATTTTTTAAAAATATTTTTTCATGGACCATCAATAAACGTAGATTTTTTTAAAAATTATTGTTTATAGACCATCAATAAATGTGAATTTTTTAAAAAATATTTTTTCATGGACCATCATTAAACGTGGATTTTTCACAAAAATTTTTTTCATGGACCATCAATAAACGTGGATTTTTTAAAAAATATTTTTTCATGGACCATCAATAAACGTGAATTTTTTAAAAAATATTTTTTCATGGACCATCAATAAACGTGGATTTTTTAAAAAATATTTTTTCAACAAAAACACAAACGTGGATTTTTTAAAAAATATATTTTTTAACAGATCAACAAATATGGATTTTTTAAAAAAATATTTTTCAATAGATCAACAAACGCGGATATTTTAAAATTTTTTTTTCAACAGATCAACAAATATGGATATTTTAAATTTTTTTTTTCAACAGATCAACAAATATGGATTTTTTAAAAAAAATATTTTTCAATAGATCAACAAACGCGGATATTTTAAAAAATACTGTTTCAACAGATCAACAAACGTGATTTTTTTAAAAAATATTTTTTCAACAGATCAACATCCGTGGATTTTTTAAAAAATATTTTTTCAATAACACAACAAACGTGGATTTTTTAAAAAATATTTTTTCAATAAAACAACAAACGTGGATTTTTAAAAAATATTTTTTCAGTAAAACAACAAACGTTGATTTTTTAAAAAATATTTTTTCAACAAAACAATAAACGTGGATTTTTTAAAAAATATTTTTTCAATAAAACAACAAAAGTGGATTTTTTAAAAAATATTTTTTCATATATTATGTTTTTCTTCAGCAGATCAACAAAGGTTTTTCTTTAAAATAAATATTTTTTTTCAGCAGATCAACAAACTTGGATTTTTTAAAAAAAATATTTTTTGAACAGAACAACAAACGTGGGTTTTTAAAAAATATTTATTCAACAAACGTGAATTTTTAAAAACATATTTGTTCAACAGGTCAACAAACATAAATATCAAAAAACGCGGATTTAAAGAAAAAAATTCAACAAATCAACAAACGTGAATTTTTAAAAAAATATTTTTTTAACAGATCAACAAGCGTGGATATTTTTAAAAAATATTTTTTCAGCAGATCTACAAACGTGGATTTTTTAAAAAATATTTTTTTAACAATTCAGCAAAAGTGGATTTTTGTAAAAAAATATTTTTTTTAACAATTCAGCAATCGTGGATTTTTTAAAAAAATATATTTTTTAACAGATCAACAAACGTGGATTTTTTAAAAAAATATTTTTTCAACAGATCAACAAACGTGGATTTTTTAAAAAATAGTTTTTCAACCGATCAACCAACGTGGATTTTTTAAAAAATAGGTTTTTCAACAGATCAGCAAACGTGGATTTTTTTAAAAATATTTTTTAAATAGACCAACAAACGTGGATTTTTTTAAAAATATTTTTTCAACAGATCAACAATTGTGGACTTTTTAAAAAAATATTTTTTCAACAGATCAACAATTGTGAATTTTTTAAAAAAATATTTTTTAACAAAACAACAAACGTGGTTTTTTTAAAAAATATTTTTTCAACAGAAAAAATATTTTTTTAAGAGATAAAAAACGTCGATTTTTTTAAAAATATTGGCCAACAAACGTGGATTTTTTTAAAAATATTGACCAACAAACGTGGATTTTTTTAAAAATATTGACCAACATACGTGGATTTTTTTAAAAATATTTTTTACATAGACCAAAAAACGTGCATTTAAAAAAAAAAAATACTTTCAGCCATTCAACAAACATGGATTTAAAAAAAATCAACAGATTAACAAACGTGGAATTTTTAAAAAAAATATTTTACTGCACAGAAAGTGAAAGGATAATCCGATTTTGCTCCATCTTTGCAAATCCTAATATTCGCATCAGCTCAGGTGCGAAAATGGACAATATCGGTCCACTCAATCAAACACCTCCCCCACAAAGGATCAAAAATATTTATTACTCTTATAAAATGTGAAGTAAGAGTCCGATTGTCTTTAAATTATACAGAACACCATATTTCAGCTGCGATGAGGGGATGAATCGGACAATTCTTTCTGGTACCTCTGCCACAACGGGTCAAAATTTTGAATAATCATGAAGCTTCTAAACCACGAAATTTACATCCGACTCCATTTATAGTTAGCTTGTCTCAATATTTCTATCAACATAAAGATAGTAGAGATCGGACCAAAGATCGAATCAAAATTTGGATAACAAAAGCGATTATAAAATTCAAAATAAGAATCCGGTTCTCTGCAAATTCCAGAACATCGCAATAATCTTATTAAACCAAGATCAGCTATGAATATGGGATATATCGGCTCACTTCTTCTGGTACCTCCCCCACAAATAAACCAACCCAAGATCTGCTATGAATATGGAATATATCGGTTCACTTCTTCTGGTACCTCCTCCACAAATATTCAAAATTTTGAATATCCACGAAGCTCATAAAACGCGAAATTAATATTCGATTCCTTTCAGACTTGGTACATCTCAATATTTCCTTCACCACAAGATCTGTTATAAAGATGGTAGAGATCGAGCCATTTCTTCCGGTACCTCCCCTACATATTGTTCGATTATCTTATGAGGACCATAACACAATTTTAAGGAATATTATTTTTAAGAATCCGTAGACCAACATTTTTTTTAAACATTTTGAAATTCAATTTTATTTTTCTCGTTGTTAAAACTTTTTTATTTTTTGCCTTAAATTTCAAATTAATAATAAATATTATAAAATATCACAACAATAACAACTATTCTAAAATAATAATATGTCTTAAATATAAAATAATTTTTCACCCCAATTTCATCTCCAAAAATCATTGTCGGACAAAACTATTTTTATATGTGGCAATATAGGGTCTCTCTTCCGAAGGACATTCGAATCTCTCGAAGGGTTCAATAAAATATGATTCCTTTCGCCCCGGTGGCTGCAACATGTTATTCCATAGCTCATTGGCAACGGCGGCATGACCCAATTGGCTAAAATGAAAACAATCACTGGCCAGAAATCTCAAATCTGTATCCCCATTATTTCGAATCGGCAAACTGACATTGGCCGTAAACGGTTGATAGAGTACCACAAAATCCTGTGTGTAAAATTCCGGCAGTGATGCCACATATTCATCTATTTTCTGCCATCGGGAAATAAATTTCGAAATTGTATTCAAATACTTCCTCGAATAGGTTTCACTGAAGATACAGTGACAGCCCACGCTGTGGACAGCCTGACAGAGCAGGGGGATATTCTGCATTTGCCTCAGGGTATTGACCATATTTGGGGCTGGTATTAAATTCACCACAAGTCGGGGGATATTATCACGCAGTAGGCGGAAGGCATTCCTCAGATCCCGCTCATGTTGTCTTAGAAAATTCCACAGATTATCATGGTGACACATATCGGAACAGATGTCATTATTGCCCACAAAAATTGTCAACAGTTTCCAATGTCGTTGCATATCAATGCGAGGATCCTGGCGCATGCGTTGTATCAGCACCTGAACCTGATAAACCAAATCTCTTGACATGATCATGGGCTCGGCAATATTCAAATGGGCATGTCTATCCACTGCCACTCCATCTTGTGTTGAGAAGCCATATAGCCGAGGATTGAAAACTTTTAAAATATTCGGCAAAGTTAGAATGGTTCTCCAATCGGCAACACCGCCCCCAGAGAAGGTAACCCCACGATTCTCGGTGGCTATATCAACAATGGTCTCAGATATTGCCCCATTACCAGCCGTCAGAGAATCACCAATTGCCGCAATGACATCAATATCACCCGGTCGCAGCTTATCCACACTTGTGGGAGTCCTTTTCGACTTGGTACCATTTAGGGGGCAAGGGAACTCATTCCATTTGCGGGGTCTTTGAATTTTCCCATATTCCCAGTTGTAACTATATAATCGGGACCAATTGTTGGCCGCCCGTTGTAGTAAAATACGCCTTAGGTTTAGTAGCAGATCTCGATTGTCATCGAGGTTTGTGACTAAAAGTTTGCCATTCCGCGCCTTTTTGGGATGGAATTTGGTTTTCTGTACCCCGGAGAGTTTTAGAAAATAGTCGATATCATTGTGGGCGGGGATTTCAGGAAGCCACAACAGGGAACAGAGTAAAGTCAGTGACAACAGTTGGAAGGTCTTCATTTAAAGCAAGTCTGAAAAATTGAAAAATATTAAAAAATTTAAAAGCGTTGGACTTAACGTTAAGCTCTTAACAATTTTATAAGCATATATGAAATATTCTTACAAACCTACTATGTAATGGAGGCTCTTGAAATATTCTCAAAAAAATATATATTATTCATTACTTTAATTAGGAGGTCCTTTTTTTCTTGAAAATCCACTGTTTTCTCGAACTTTTCTTAAAAACTCACTATTTTGGTCCTAGAATAGCGCATAAAAATATTTAAAAAAAAAAACCATGCATTAAGTCAGTGAAAATCATGGAATCTTGGATGTAAGTTTCGAAAGGCATTTTCAAAATAATTTTTAAAAATTCATTAAATTTCTATTTTTGTTAGAAGGTCCTTTAAAAGTTTCTCTCTTGAAAAATGTTAAAAAAATGTATTATTTATTAATTTAACGATTTCTCCTGAAGCTTGCTGTTTGCTCAAACTTTTTTTAAAAACTCACTATTTTGGTCCTAGAAAGCCTCATCAAATATTAAAAAATCCAGTCCTTGAAAATAAAGGAATCCTGGATATGAGTCTCGATAGGCCTTAAAAAAAATTCTTAAAAAATCCTGATCCTGTCTATGAATATTGTTAGAAACCCCAGAGGTTTTTAAAAAATTGAAATGTGAATTATTTTCATTAAGAAGAGGTTTCAATAAATTCTCTTAAAAATACTATTTTCGTTGGAAGGTCCTTCAAAATTTTCTGTGTTAAAATATTCTCAAAAAAAATCTATTATTTATTAATTTAACCTTTTTTATCGAAATCCACTATTTGCTAAAACTTTTCTTTAAAACTCATTATTGTCGTCCTAGAAAGCTTTATAGAAGTTAAAAAATATATATACCGGACGTTAAATCCTTGAAAATATTACAAAATCAAGGAATCCTGTATTTTTGTTACCGAAGACCTCTTTAAAATGCTCTTAAAATATCCTCACTTTGAAAAAAAAATTTAAAAATCTATGAATTTTATTATGAAACCTTGAGGCCTTTGGAAAAATTTAAATACGATTATTTTCGTCAAGAGGAGGTTTCACTATATTCCCTTAAAAAAATACTATTTTGGTTAGAAGGTCCTTTAAATTTTTTTCTGTTGAAATATTCTAAAAAAGTCTATTATTTATTAATTTAACCTTTTTTATTGAAATCCACTTTTTGCTCAAACTTTTCTTAAAAACTCACTATTTTCGTCCTCGAAAGCCTTATAGAAGTTAAAAAATATATCGGACGTTAAATCCTTGAAAATATTACAAAATCTAGGAATCCTGTATTTTTGTTACCGAAGACCTTATAAAAATATTCTTAAAATATCCTGACTTTGAAAAAAAAAAATTAGAAAATCGATGAATTTTGTTAAGAACCCTTAAGGTCTTTGAAAAAATTGAAAAGTGAATTATTTTTGTCAGGTGGAGGTTTCACTAAATTCTCCTAAAAATTACTATTTTGGTTAGAAGGCACTTTCAACTGTCCCATTACTTTAACCAATTTTCTGGAAAATGCAAATGCTCAAACTTTTCTTGAAAAATCACCATTTTGATCCCTGAAAGCCTTTTAAAAATATTAAAAAAAACCGACGTTAACTCCTTGAAAATCAGGGAATCCAGGATATTAGTCTCGAAAGGATAAAAAAAATTAAAAAATCGATTAATTTTGTTAGGAACACTTGAGGTCTTTGAAAAAATTGAAATGTCAATTATTTTCGTCAGGAAGAGGTTTCACTAAATTCCCTTCAAAATACTATTTTCGTGGGAAGGTCCTTTAAAATCTTCTCTTTTGAAATATTCTCAAAAAATCTATTATTTATTGAAATACACTATTTGCTCAAACTTTTCTTAAAAACTCACTATATTCGTCCTCGAAAGCCTTATATACCGGACGTTAAATCCTTCAAAATATTACAAAATCAAGGAATCCTGTATTTTTGTTCCCGAAGGCCTACTTATTTGAAAAAAAAAAAAAAAAAAATTAAAAAATCGATGAATTTTTTTAAGAACCCTTGAGGTCTTTGAAAAAATTGAAATGTCAATTATTTTCATCAGGAAGAGGTTTCAATAAATTCCCTTAAAAATACCATTTTGGTTAGAAGGTCCTTTAAAATTTTCTCTGTTAAAATATTCTCAAAAAATTTATTATTTATTAATTTAACCTTTTTTTATTGAAATCCACTATTTGCTCAAACTTTTCTTCGTCCTCGAAAGCCTTATAGAAGATAAAAAAATATACCGGACGTTAAATGCTTGAAAATATTACAAAATCAAGGAATTATGTATTTTTGTTCCCGAAGGCCTTAAAAAAATATTCTTTAAATATCCTGACTTTAAAACAAAAATAAAAATTCGTTGAATTTTGTTAAGAAACCTTGAGGCCTTTGAAAAACAAAACAATTGAAAAACAATTATTTTCGTCGGGAGAAGGTTTCACTATATTCCCTTAAAAAAATACTATTTTGGTTAGAAGGTCCTTCAAAATTTTCTCTGTTGAAATATTCACAAAAAATCTATTATTCATTACTTTAACCTTTTTTTATTGAAATCCACTATTTGCTCAAAGTTTTTTTAAAAACTCATTATTTTCGTCCTCGAAAGCCTTATAGAAGTCAAAAAATATATATACCGGACGTTAAATCCTTGAAAACTTACAAAATCAAGGAATCCTGTATTTTTGTTAGCGAAGGCCTTATAAAAATATTCTTAAATTATCCTGTCTTTAAAAAAAAATTAAAAAATCGATGAATTTTGTTAAGAAATCTTGAATTCTTTAAAAAAAATTAAAATGTCAATTATTTTCGTCAAAAAGAGGTTTCACTAAATTCCCCTAAAAATTACTAATTTGGTTAAAAGGTCCTTTAATTTTTGTTGTTGAAATATTCTCAAAAAATCTATTATTCATTACATTAAACTTTTTTTTTTTTTTTTTTTTTTTTTTGAAAATCCCCTTTTTGCTCAAACTTCTCTTAAAAACTCATAATTTTCGTCCTCGAAAGCTTTATAGAAGTTAAAAAAATATATATACCGGACGTTAAATCCTTGAAAACTTACAAAATTATGGAATCCTGGATTATTGTTTTCAAAGGCCTTATAAAAATATTCTTTAAATATTCTGACTTTGAAAAAAAAAATAAAAAATCGATGAATTTTGTTAAGAACCCTTAAGGTCTTTGAAAAAATTGAAAAGTGAATTATTTTCGTCAGGTGGAGGTTTCACTAAATTCCCCTAAAAATTACTATTTTGGTTAGAAGGCACTTTCAACTGTCCCATTACTTTAACCAATTTTCTGGAAAATGCAAATGCTCAAACTTTTCTTGAAAAATCACCATTTTGATCCTGGAAAGCCTTTTAAAAATATTAAAAAAAACCGACGTTAACTCCTTGAAAATCAGGGAAACAAGGATATTAGTCTCGAAAGGATAAAAAAAAATTAAAAAATCGATTAATTTTGTTAGGAACACTTGAGGTATTTGAAAAAATTGAAATGTCAATTATTTTCGTCAGGAAGAGGTTTCACTAAATTCCCTTAAAAATACTATTTTCGTGGGAAGGTCCTTTAAAATCTTCTCTTTTGAAATATTCTCAAAATATCTATTATTTATTAATTTAACCTTTTTTTATTGGAATCCAATATTTGCTTCAACTTTTCTTAAAAACTGACTATTTTGGTCCTTTCAAATCCTCATAAAAATATTTCAAAAATACCAGACAAAGTTTTTGAAAATCTTGCAAAATCAAGGAATCCTGATTTTTTTCATTCCGAAGACCTTATAAAAATGCTCTTAAAATATCCTGATATTGAAACAAATTTAAAAAATCCATTGAAGAATCCTGAGGTCATTGAAAAAATTGAAATGCCAATGATTTTGGTCAGGAGGAGGTTTCACTAAATACCCCTAAAATTTATTATTCTGCTTAAAAGGTCTTTTTTTAAAAATAAACACTTTTTAAATCCTCCTTTAAAAAAAAATAAGATTTTTTTAAATTAAATGAAACAATTTTTAAAATCCTCCTTTTTTTAAAAAAAAACAAGATTTTTGTTCTCATTCTGTTCTTTAAAAAAAATAAAACGCAGCTATACGTCCTTGAAATTTTGTAAATTCGCTATTCGTATTTTTTTAATAATCCATTAATTTTGGCAATAAGAACCTAAAAATGTTTCTTAAGAATTCCTAAATCTTTTATGAATATTTTATTAAATATTTTCCAGAAAAATACACAGCTTGTGTCCTAAAAATCTTTTTCCGAAATCCGATAGATTTTTTATGAAAATGAATGAAAAAAAAAAATAAATGTAACACCAAGAATTTCTTGCCAAGTACTTCATGGTAAAATATTATAAGAACATTGTACAGCGCCTAGGTATCTTAAAAATATTCTCTGAATATCCAAAAAAAAAAAATAATCTATAAAAAACATTTTTTTAATTTTTTCAAAAAAATCATGTTTAAAAAACTCAAAAAAAAAATTGAAAATTCCATTTTTATTTTTTGTTAACCAGAAGGACCTTGATGTATTTTTTAATTTCTATTTTTTCTTTTTTTTTGCCAGCAGGTCTTTCAATTTCTTACAACAAATACTATTTTAGTTCTGAAAGGTCTTGTAAAAATATTCTCAAAAGAGGCCAAGAAAAAATTTTAAAAACCTATTTTTGCCAGGAATTCCCTTAAAAAGCCAAGAAGACAAGGCCCCAATATCTTATAAAATACACATTAAAACTCCATGATTTTACCAATGTTTCTAGAATATTGTAAAAATATTATTAATAAATCCACTCCCTTCCTTCCGTCCTTGAAAAAAAAAATCCTAAAAATGCATTAATGTTTTCAAAAGCTCCTTGCTTTTTTATCTAGAAGTATTCTAGGATTCCTTTAAACACTCTGTTTTGGTCTTCAGGCTTCCCAAAAACTATTCATAAAATCCACAACTTAGGAAGGCCTTACACAAATGATTTGTAAAACCACCATTTAAATTAGGGTTC